CATTGTCTGCAGGTATATCCAGAGCACATGTGCCACTTCTGGAGAATGGCTGTATGAAGGACTTGATTGGCTCTCTAACAACATAGCTAATAAGGTATGCCTGCAATTTCTGTAAATGGCATTTACACATTCCACAAAATTCTTATGTATTTATCTAACATCTGAACATTTATATTTTATATACATAGCACTCAATTCTTTAGCATTACATCAAAAATACCACCATCAATATTTTCTTAAAGTGAAACACACCTTCTTATTCATAGGTTTATAAAACCAAGGTGTTACATGTGTAAATATTAAATTTTGGGTGTTTATATGTTAATGCATTAGAATTGTGTGGTATATATGTAAATTTCCGAATCACCAATAACTATTGCTAACCAGACCTGTGTATTTTTGTTGGTTTAGAAGATGGAATTTGGTGTTTGATAGCATTGTTATGTATTTGTGTTATAAGTAGAAGAAAAATGCTCAAATAAAGCTCTCACTAAACACGCTGAAATGAACTTATCCACTAAATACTCAATGCACAATCTTCCCCTCACGCTCACAGTCACTCCACTCACTCAAACTTCACACACACACACTTTAAATCCTTCCCCTAACATAACTCCACCCCATATATTATGCTCCAGCATGTGTTAATATACAACTGAAACCATCAAATCCAGCCCTGTATGGACCAAAACCGAGCCAACAAATGTAAAAATAACTTCCAGCATTTATTTAGGGAGCCATAAGAGTAGTAAAGCTGCATAATGAAGTCCCAAATGTTTAAGATGTATATTTACACATGAAGGAAATATCAGCACATCAGAGCTGAAAGTTGGATGAAAGAAGAATAGAATATCCAGCATGTGTTAATTCTATCTATCTATCTATCTATCTATGTATATATATTGTTGTGATATAAGTAGAAGAGAAAAGCTCTCAGCAAAAATGCTGAAATGAACGCATCCACTTAACACGAACTGCACAATCTTTCCCTCACGCTCACAGTCAATCCACTCACTCATACTTCACACACACACCCTTTAAATCCTTCCCATAACATAACTCCACCCCATCATGTTTAAATATACAACTGAAACCATCAAATCCAGCCCTGTAGGGACCAAAACCGAGCCAGCAAATGTCCAAATAACTTCCAGCATTTATTTAGGGAGGCATAACAGTAATAAAGCTGCGGAATGAAGTCCCAAATTCATTTAGGGACCAAAACCGAGCCAACAATGTATATATATATATATATGAAGTCCCAAATTCAGCATTTCATGTAGCAAATAAAAATAGAGAAATGAATTTTCCATTGCTTCTCATATGTGCTTCAGCTACCCAATTCGAATCAAAGCTTTTAAAACCGAAATCCCCAATTTTATAACCATTCAAGTTTATGCTTAGATGGTGAGAAAAGGATCGAACATAGCCGAAATTGACCACGTAAGGTGGAAAAAGTAAATACATAAGAATTATATGATCAGTATGCAAATGCTCTGCATAATCTGCATTCAAAGATAAACCATGAAGGCCCAAATTTTGCATTCGCATATATGGAAATGCCCCTTCAAAATTAAAAGCTCAACGATAAGAAGATGAAAAAAATTACAAAAATACATACAGAGCTCCGTGAGTTCGAATCAAAGCTTTTAACCAAAACCGAAATCCCTAATTCTATAACCATTCAAGGTTTTGCTTAGATGGTTAGAAAAAGGATCAAACAGAGCTCCCTGATCGAATGAAATCTTAACCAAAACCGAAATCCAGCACTGTAGGGACCAAAACCGACCCAAACAAATGAAAAAATAAGCCATAAGAATAACAAAGCTCAAGAATTTGTACTGATTCTTTTATAACCACCATATGAACAGAAATAACTGTGACAGAGATCGAACACGGCCTCCGGGAAGGAAGGAGACGGATATCGGGTAGGGCAAGAGTGAGGGGTCGAAAAAAAAATACCTCATATCACGGATCACAGCTTCAGGCAAGCTCGAAACCGAAGGCGAGACGGGAAGGGCGAGGGCAAGGGGGAGAAACGGGAAGGACAACACGGGAAAAACAACCTAAACGCGAGAAGCATACGCGGAACGGCGCCCCTAACCGGATTACCCCGTCCTTAAGGAAATAGCGGTATTAAAACGACGCGTTTTAAAAACTTGTCATGCGAACGGAATTTCCAAACGGAAGGGCGGCGTTTTCAAAACGCCGCCGCTTCCCAAATGCGCCCCCAAACGGGCCCTTACTCTGCTACCCTCGAATCTCCACCAAATTCGACATTACTTTTTTCCTTCGTTCGCTATCGAGCTCGCAGAGCAGCTCCATGCTTATTCAGCACTCTTTCTGTTCTAGGTAAGAGCTCGCAGAGCCTGCTCTGGCGCTTCAATTTTTTTCTCTTCTAAAATGCTTGTTCGACACTGCATCGACATCTCTTCTTCTGCCTTTTTGTATTATGTTTTCTAGGTTTTGTGCTTGGGTTGTTAAAGCCGCTTCGCCATTGAAGGATTGAATTGAATTCTCTGTGACAGAAGGGCTAAAGAGGTATCGCAGTTGGTGGCTTTGTGTGCTCAGATTTTGTTTATTAGTCTTTTCTTCTTAGTCTTTTCTTCATTGTTCTTGTGTTAAATAATGGCCTCTTCTATAGGAAAATGCACGGTTTTTTAGTCTGTTGGGGGCAATGGAGAAAGAGAGTTGTTTATGGGTGAGGAGGGCAAAGTTCGCACCAATCCCTTACATCCGTTCCGGATCTTTTAAATTTCCATCCATCGTATGGGATGAACAATCTTACAAAATCCTAATCTGAAGAAAGAAATTATGAGCTCTAAATCAATGCCAATTGAGTCTATTTTAGGCTTCACAAAGGCAGCTTTTTTGCCTGGTGGTTCTGCAAGAAAAACATATGGGAAATCAGGGAGAAAGATGGAGGATTTCTGTCTTGTTTCTTCAGATTTAGTTTCTGCCAAATCCTCGCTACAACATGGTGGCAGTGAGTCTTCTTCATCATCGATAAAGGAGTAAAATTTACAACCCGTTGAGTTCTCCTTCCATACCAATTTAACCACAACATCAGAAACAATGAAATTGTATTCTTATGCAGTCTAGCTTGCTTACCATAAGAAGAAATTGGATCAAATGAAACGAAAATCCAAACCGAAGCAGAGATGTGTATCCTCACTACCAACTACCACTTTTTCTAATGTCTTTAAAGAGGCTAAATCCAATTCAAAGAGGTTCCCCACACGACCCCCTTGCAGAAATAAACCACACAAGAAGATCTTAGAAAAGAACAGCTCTTGTAATAAATTGAATCCTCTCCAAAAATTTCGCTTTGTGAAGGGCATTACGAAGTTAAGGTCGAAGAATGTAACACCATAGACGAGGTGTTTATATAATGGGGCAGTTAAGGTGATAGCAGTAGAGGCCACATATAACTGGATCGTAAATCTTTTCGAGCCGTACTTCAGAGCTCGATTTGCCAGTGGAGCTAATAGTAGACTTTATCATGACATGTATAAGAATCAGCCCATTGTTGTTAAGATTATTCAATTGTCTGACGACGATGAAAGTGGATTGATGGTGGCGCGCTTGGAAAAGCAATTCACGAGAGAGGCGACCTTTCTATCTCATCTTTGCCACCCCAATGTGATTAAGGTTGAATGGGATCTATGTTTATTACATCTTTTCCTTCTTCAATATGCTTGAAATGAACAACTTTGAAACAATTCTTCTAGTATTTAGCTATGATTAATGTTACTCTCTGATGGCTTTGATGATATGTTTAAAGCTGATTCATATTAATTATGAAGGAAGATTGGCATACATACCACTCAATTCCTATGTATTCACATATATATCTGTCAGCTAAACTTTAACTTTTACATATATGTCAACTTAGCTATACCTCAAAAGAAGTAATTCACTTTTCAAAAGTTAAAATAGTGATATTTTGTATGTGACATGAAAGATTTGGGTGATATGAAGATAAATATTTGAAGTTCAAACAACTTTTGTTGTTGTTAATAAGACATTCTACAAGTAAAGTTAGCATGTTTATTGTTTGTTGTTTGGCCTATTGTTGAGATATGAGCTTTTACTGAGATTAAAATGATGCAAAATGTTGAAAAGGTTAATATTTTTTTTAAGAATTTGAGACTGGTTATTCTGGCTGACTGTCCGGTGGTTCTATGAGGGTTGATCGGTGTTGGTCAACACTTCAGAGAGTAGGCCGAAGTTTGCGCAGATTGTGGTTTTATAACAGTTTGAAGCTTATCTAGCTAATGGTGGAACAACTCAACTCTTTTGTATTTTCATGTCTTGATGTTTGAACTTTAATTTTAAAAGCTTATCACATTTCATATAAATTAATGTTACATTGCATCTCCAAGATGTTGCAGTTTTATTGAGAACATTACAACTTTTGTGTGCCAGATTTTTTTAAAATTTTTCATTTAACTAAAAAAAATTGTAAATCAGCTGTTTACAAAACTCATAAACCAAATAGTTAAACAACTTATCCAGAACAGGAGCAGATTAGTCATTTATCCAGAATCAGCTGTTTTCCAAACGTACAAACCAAACAGTCAGTCAACTTATCCGAATCAGCTGTTTATCAACAAATTATCATAATAAACTGCTTATCAACATAAGCTGGATAAGCTGCAGCTGCCCCAAATAGACTTTTAGTACAAAAATTTTAATATGAACACTTATAATATTTTAGTGTTAGAAATTTATATATGAAAATATATATTTTAATAATTATGATGTTATACTAAAAACTTTAATGACACGCATGCAAATATTAACATAGCATTTGTTACGAGAATTGTGTGGTCGCGTGTGTAAGTGGGATTCCGCGTTAGGAAGGGCTTACTCGGGTCGGGACTTTGAAGCAGAAACCCATCGGGCCACGGCTTCTTCTTTTTCGTCTCCCTCCGCTTGAAACTTCATGTACAACTTCAACAAGACTGACGTAGTCAAACAATCTACTCTCTATACACATACATTCTGGAGCTGAGACTCCTATCTCACGATTCGCGTCGGGGTAACGTCGTTTCTTGCGCCGGTGAGAATCAAATCCCGGAAGGAAAAGTTTTTTTCGATTTGAATATATTGCTCTAAGTTTTCAGGTGATTCAACTTATTCGGCAGTTTCTTCTTTGATTTCTGTAAGAATTTCTTGTTCCGAGTTTTAATGTAATTTTTTTTTTCTTGTGGAGAATTAGGTACGTTATTCATTGATTTGTGATTGAATGCAAGTAATCACGAGCTTTGTATTTCTTTCAAATTTTGTAAGAAAGAAAGCTAATTGGAGCATGTTGATGGGCGACATCGTGATAATAGGAAATGATGGGAATTGCTTGAGATAGATTCCTTTATTCTTGTTTGTTCTTCGGAAGATGGTTATGTTGTGAAATTTATTAGGTTTTGTATTAGCTTATAGAAGTGATGGAGCTAGGTGGCCTTGGTTTCAGCAATCATTTGGGGAATTTATTGCTAGGTTAGGTTTGCTGAAAATTTTTTTAAGGACTATATGTTTTGCAGACTACTTTTTTGGGCAAAGATATTATCGGTACTTTTTTTTTGATTGCTTGACTTTAGCTGGCCCCTTCTTTGTAGTGATGGGCTGTGAAGTGGCAGTACAGTCACCGGAGACATGGAGTAAGTGAAATTTGTTGTTTAGTGTGATTAAGACCCTGCATGGTTTGGGCTTAAAAGTTAAGCTGAGGTTAAGATAATTTTGTCTTAAAACTATTTGGTTAGATTCGAGATTAAGCTCGTATCATTAGAATTATCAAATGAAAAAGGATAATTATGAAAAGGATAAGCTCTGATAAGTTAGTTAGGTTGCTTAAGCACATGGAATAAGATGAGTAACATTGATCTTCTTCTCTTATGGGTTGTTTGGTAGAGGCTTCTATCAATGGATTTATTAAATCCACCCAAATGCCAAAATGCAGGAGTTCCATGGATTTACAAATATTCAGATTCAATAAATCCAATTTTGCCTTCGATTCAGCCCAAATCTGGATTTACTAAATCTAAGTAATAGATGGATTTACAGATTTAAGGATTTGTTAAATACTACTTGCGGCCAAACAACCATTTAAGATAAAAAGGAAATTTCTCCATTGACACTTATTTGGTGCTAAATGTGGCCGTAAGAACCAAAAAATGCGCCCTAACATGGCACCCTTTTTTTTCTTAATAAAAGCTTTTTTGATTTGATTCTCAGTTCATTGTTGTATCACACGGGTTATTCATATTTTGGGGTGATCTAAATTGATAGCTAATGCATATGTTACTTTTTAAACTTAAAAATAACTATTTGGTTTACATGACTCTGTGCAATTATGAAGGTATATCTAGTTGCATTAAATACTATAACCAACATCATAAGTGCCATATGGCATGATTTACAACAAACTGGAATGAAATTTGGGAACTTACGAAAATGGATCTTAGAATTGTTTGCATGCTACCCTAAGGACTATGTTTTGCTTAAGCGAGTGGAAGTGGTTGAATTTGATTACCTATGAAAGTGAGTTCAGTCATTTATTTGTTAGGAAGTGAATGAAAGAGAGTTCTTATTTTTTGAACATTAGGAAGAAATGTTACTTGCTGCAAATCACTAACGATGACTGGTGGAAGCTCTTATCGATTGTAATGCCTCAACAGATGGGGAAAACCAATGCTCTAATTGACAATCAGGAAAGACTGAAATCAAACAAATAAATTAGGAGTTTTCTATGATTAGGAGCTTCCCTATTTAAATTATTTCCAATATTTTTATTCTGATTTATTTCCCTTTTTGCTGAATATTTAGATTAGGAATATGTATTATTAAGTTACATAAAATAAATTATACAGAATAGTACGTACCTAAAATAGATTGTAAGATTATTATTTAATGGAATGAAAGCAAAGGGAAAAGGCATCGAGCATATTCAATATTCAACCTATTTGCTCAAAACATTGACATTATATCAGAGTCAAAATTTTGCCGTAACTACCGATAGTCGTTGGAGACAGTCAAGACTCCCTTCTCGCCGGCCTCTTGCGGGAAGGAACTATTTCTTCGTCTTCAATTTGCCTTCGACCGCTTCGTCCCGGGTTGCTTCGTCCTCCTTCGATCGCTTCGTCCCAGGCTGTTTTGTCCTCCTTCGATCGCTTCGACTGCTTTGTCCTCCTTCGATCTTCGAATCGTGGTTAATTTTTCAGCTACAAATAAAGCCCCCTCGTATGCCCTTTAAGCTTTGTTCGTTGTCTTCTTCAGGAGCCTTTCTATAAAGGTTCTGTGGCTGCTTTTTGTCTCTCACGGAATCGAAGCAGAGGATCGCCCCGGCATCTTCTGTGATACGATCGATGGCTGATAGGAACCAGCACCTGAGAGAAACCAGGACATCCTATTTTCTTGTTATTTGTGCTCTTCTGTATTCATTTCATCGATAGAAGGTTTTTGAATTGGACTGCTATTGGTGACAAAGATCCAGGGAGAATGCGGAGCGTAAGGCCGGATCAGACGGAGAAGGACGTAGAGCCATTCGAGGAGGTGGATCCGACGTGGAGATATGAACAATATGAGAATCTTCTAGGTACATACACAACAAAGAAGGTCTGCATGTCAAGAGATGGAACTTATTCTGAAATGCAAAATTCATTGATTGTGGAATACAAGGATTCTTGGGTTGAAAAGGGTTGTTATGTTTGTCTTATTATTCGTCCGATTCAGATTTTCTTTGTTGGGCATCACTGCTTCTGTGACATCATTGACTGCTTCTTATGCTTCGCTTCGTCCTCTTCGGCTTTGGCTTCGACACTTCTTCCTAGATCGATGGCTTCGGCTTCGGCAAACCATAGATCTTAGGCTTCGGCACTCACGACTTCAACACTCACGGCTTCGACACTTTTAGGCTTCGGCACTCTGAGGCTTCAGCATTCTGAAGCTTCAACACTCGGAGGCTTCGACACTCTCAAGCTTCGACACTCTTAGGCTTCAGCACTCTTTTTTTTCTTCAGCACTCTTGCTTCGGCACTCTCAGGCTTCGGCACTCTCAGACTTCGACATTCTCGGCTTCGGCACCTTCGGCTTCAGCACTCACGACTTGAGGATTTTTTGCCCCGACAATATTATCAGTTTCTTGTTGGCAAATTGATGTTTCCTGATCAGTCAACATCTATTTGAGGGGGATGTCAATCAGGAAAGACAAAAATCAAACAGCTAAATTAGGAGTTTTCTATAATTAGGAGCTTATTTAAATTATTTTCAATATCTTTATTCTGATTTATTTCCCTTTTAGCTGAACATTTAGATTAAGAATATGCATTATTAAGTTACCTAAAATAGATTTTACGGAATATTTTGTACCTAAAATAGATTGTAAGATTATTATTTAATGGAATGAAAGCAAAGGAAAATGACATCGAGCCTATTTGCTCAAAACATTGACACTAACTAGATGGAGAAACGTTGAAGTAGGACTCTCGAGTAGCGTAGGGATTTATTTGTGCAAAATCTGAATTTGAATCCGAATCCACGAGCTATACCATTGAATTCAATTGCACGAGCTAAACCATTGAATTCAATTCCAATCCTAATTCATCCAAGCAGCCTGAGCAGGATGTGAAAACGTTGCAGTCAAGCTAAAAAAAGAAACAACCAGAAATGCATTCAATGTTATATTTATATTGTTATTAATTCAAATTTTGGTTTTACCAAATTTTTGAGTCAAAATCATATCCGACTATCGAAAATCAAAATGCTTTGATTTTTTATTTTTCAAACCAATATTTGAAACATTAATTTAAAATCCGAACAAAATTATCAAAAATATTTTCTTAGATTTTATTTTTTCGATTATAACCAGATAATGCACACCCATGATCTTGACTAGTTTGGTTTGGTTGAAGCCGTCACTGTTCTATTTACTCCCAGATTTAATATTGGCTGAAACAATCCTTAGTCTCTTTTAAAAAGAGGTTTTTTTAACTCCTATTTAAAGACTATGCGGACTAATTTTGTGCTTTTATAGACTCTGGAAGTAAAATGGTTGCATATAAATTGACAGGAAAGCATTTTGGTATAAATTTCTAATGATAGTACCTTCCAGTCAATCTCGCTATAGTTTTTGGTTATCTTTTAGTTTTAAAAATTTTATTTCAATAAAATGCCATATGTTTTTTATTCTACCAAATGTTTATTTAGAGATCCTTATTTATACCAAACCTATCTTTATTTTAATTTTTGTTGCTAAAATGTAAATTTATTCATTCAATTATGAATCTTGAAGTATATTTTAGATCTCCATACATCAAATATTTGAGTAAAAATTTTTGTAATCAACTCGACGATAATCAAAACTTCAGTTTTAGCAAATTTATCATCAAAATTCCTATCCAGATCCAAGTTTTAATGTCAAGCACTTGACAGTATAATTGAAAAATCTCAGGCCATTTGAATGATCAAACATTTTCCTAATTCTACGTGCTTAATGTGTGTCTTGTTTATATCAATCTGATAAATCCTACATCATTCAATTGTGTTGTCACTAAGGCACCAAGGTTTCTAAAAAATATTGTATGACTAAAAGGGATCAACTCCAATTGTTTGATGAATTGCCTTTGTTTTTGGTAGAAATGATCAGCATGCCCCTTAAAAATCTATAAATATCGTTTCCTTTACATAATAAGGATGCTATAAAAATGACTTGGTGGAGGGAATTCACAATCATGGAGAATTCCTGAGCTTTAACTATCAGCACTCAACATACGGAATTGACCAACGCTATCGTCAACCAAATCAGCACCTGACATTGGCAAACAACTATGCTTGATGTCGCCCAACGCTAACTTCCCATCGACCAACGTCAAAGCTCGTTGTTGACCAAATTTGACGCCCATCATAGCCACTATGGCTTACACTTAATATTGCCACCATGCCGACGCACCATCTCACCACCAACTCAAACAGCTGCCATCACTGACAAAGCCGACACTAACAATGCGAGCTCCCTCGATCAGGGATTAGGTTGACACATAGCGACTTAACTTGGTGCCACCATTTTTGGTACCTATTATTGCCAACAAGACTAAAGCTCCTTATAACCAATAGAATGATGCTCACTACAGCCACGGTCTCTGATGGCTGCCATTAGAAATATTTGCCATCATCGCTATTGTTGACGTCTGTCATCATTGCCTTTGTCGCCATTGCTGATGCTTGTGTTGGTATGAAGATCGGTGCCACTGTAACTACAAGATGAATGTTAGCCTTCTTGTTAACTATTCTCCTCTCTTTTAAGGAGAACAACCTACTATACCGCTGATAATTTTTTGATGACAAGTTTGACCTCTTAAGGCTCTTTCTTCTATTATAAAAGTTTTATCCATTAGCAGAATCATTTTAACTACATCAAATCCATGATTTTTTTCCTTTTTGAGTTTTCATATAAAAAAATCTCATATCTCTTATAAGCTGCTTTCAACCAATCTATGTATGTGTATATGGGATTTTTGTTCAGTGCTAGGATGATAAACTCTTTCTATTTATTTATGTGTATATGGGATTCTTGTTCAGTGTCAGGACGATAAGCTCTTTCTGCTACTGCATGAGTCGAGCACACACAATCCCTTGAACAAATGGCAGTTTCAATAATTCAAAATCAAGAATTGGCGGTCAATATGCATCTTGTCTCGTGTTCATAATAACATTATAAAGAACAATCTGATAATGTTAATTTAACGGCTTTTAAGTAATTTAGTACTTTAGTAGCTGTAATTTTTTTTGGTTACTCGTAATGATTCTATAAAAATGGGGAAGTAAACCTCCAGCATTTTTATGTTTGCTTTTATCCTTTTCTTTTGTCAAGAACAAAGCCATTGCATAAGGAATTCCTTAAGGAATTACTGGATATTTTTTTATTTTCAAATAGAGATTATTAGAATATTATTATATAATGAAGACCTAATTTGGAGGGTTTATGATAACTGCCTCTTGTATTTCCTAAATATGGCGATATGCACCATAAGTTAAGTTCGAACTTATTTGTGCAACATTATCTGCTTTTTGGGTCTTGTACTTGTCATAGTTTGTTCTCTCCAATTAATAGTTGTCACAATGAGTTTTTTCCACCATCAATCTCTTTTGAGATTGTGGTTATTACTTTTGTCAAATCCAATTTAGTAAATATTCTTGCTTTGTCGTTTTTGATTAAAATCTCTCAAGAGGGACTCTAATCTTACCTGATTTACCTTTTTAAAGAAATATATATATCCGTGATTTTCTTTTTTACATTTAAGCAGTGAAGTGTTATTTTGGTTCATTCTGTTCTATAACACTGGTTAGAATGGTCAGTTGGTCTGGTTTAGCATTATTTGGGCCTATTTCTCTTATGTGTAATGCTTTTTTTTTTTTGGCAGGTTGCTATTGTTCATATAAGACATCAAAATTTTCTCATCAGCTTGTTTGCAGAGTGGTTTAGTTAAGCACTGATGACTTGTTTCTCTTTCATTTTCAAGAAGAAGCCATTGAGGCATAAAGCTAAATTTGATGAAGGTTGGAAAATCTTTTGGCTGGTACTTTTCAGTATTTTATTCCAATGTTGAATCTCCTTCTTTAGACACTTTAACTATCTTTCCTGTATCCCTTGGAAATCTTTACTTCATAACTGTATTGAAAAGTTACTGATGATATCGGCCTTTTTGTAGAGGTGTCGAACTTCCAAAATGTGAAAATATACTCTTACAAAGTATTACAAAAGGCCACTGATAATTTCAGTCCTGCTAATAAGCTCGGAGAGGGAGGTTTTGGTTCTGTATACAAGGTAATTGTTGGATGTTTTAACTGTGCATCAACATAAGCTGAACCTTTTAACCTTTTAATGTAGTTCTTTTGTTGATATTCTCAGGGCATGCTAAAAAATGGTGAAATTGTTGCCATTAAAGTTCTCTCCTCTGAATCAAGACAAGGGGTGCGGGAGTTTTTAAATGAGCTTACTGTGATTTCCAATGTAGTTCACGAGAATCTTGTCGGTCTGATTGGTTGCTGTGTGGATGGAAACCAGAGGATCTTGGTTTACAATTACCTTCAGAATAATAGCCTCGCAAAAACACTTCTTGGTGACTTGCTTCTTCCTCGTTGATTTTTAATGTTGTAATTCTCTACAGTGACTTATTATCTTTATGCTTAGCTTTTGATAAGATGCATTGTTCCTTAATTTTAGGCACGAACATTAGCAATCTTCAGTTCAGCTGGATCACACGAAAAAAAATTTGCATTGGTGTTGCACGAGGACTTAAATTCCTTCATGAGGAGGTCCGTCCTCGCATTGTGCATCGTGATATAAAGGCAAGCAATATTCTTCTGGATAAGGATTTGACTCCTAAGATTTCAGATTTTGGCATAGCAAAACTTCTTCCCCCGGATATGTCCCATATTAGCACCAAGGTAGCTGGAACAATGTGAGTGAAAAACTTTACCTAATCCTCCCTGCTTCCATTCTCCACATGCTTCATTGTCTAAGTATGTTTGGCATTCTCGTTTTAGGATACGCTTGTTCAAATATGGACCCATACTGACTTTGAGGCTTTACATATCCCAATACTATGGAATAAATCTTTCCTCCCCTCTTATAGTTTGTTCTGATTGTATAATAGTTGGAGCCCTGTGCTTGGAAGTAGGAAACTGATTTTATGTTGGTTTTTCTCGTTATATTTCTTGATTCTCCTCTAATTGGTTTCTTTCTATATGCTGTCAAATGTTGAATTTCTTGGATTTGTTCACCATGTGCTAACCTCTACAGCTAATATTTTCCCAATTTTGTGAACTTTCCACCCACTGATAGCATTTTGAAATGGACATTAACCGCTGGGCTTGTACAACAGTCATGTGAAGTTCTCTGTACTTAAGTGGCAAGGTCTATATGGTTCACCAATGGTGAAGCATGGTAGAGATTAGGCTTTGTCTATAATCAATACATATCCTGAAGCTTTCTACCAGAACTCTGCAATGTGATGTATTAGGCCTGATAAATCCCTTATTCAATAGTTCTTGTAACTGAATCTTCAATTTTGCAATTCTTTTACTGTCATTGTATAAGGTATTATGGTACTTTAGATAATGACTCTGTGGGCTCCGAAAATTCACGACCACTCCCCAAGACACTCCCCTCTGCATTTATTTTTATTTTGAGAGAGAGCTTTGGAGGATCTAATTTTTAGAGGATAGATTGGATTGTACATAACACACTGCCCAGAGATTTTGTCCTTTTTTTTGTGAGGACTTTTTGATATGCTGATCGAGGTTTCCCATAGACACACACCTGTATAATTAATTACACCCCCCTCCCCGCGCGATAACGGGAGAGTACTTTCGATTAAGGTTACCCATTAATATTTTAATATTTAACATATAATAGCAACATACTTAGGATTTAAATTGCAGAATTCACCACTTGAAGCTTAAAGCGGATGGTGGGGCAATGAAGACGAAACCTTGTTCTGTCATCCCGGGTCATTGTGGTCCCTGATCTACTTCATTAGAGCAGGTAATCGACCCAACCTGACATAAGAATTCTTGTCAGCAGTCATGGGTTACGTCATCCGAGAGATCCTTGTAGATCTGAGGTGATTATTTGTTGCTGACAAAAGACTTTATGTCAATTAATTGTACATTTATGATTCACAACTTAAAAGGCAGAAAGCTATTGAGGAACATTCAGGATGCAACTCTGATCGTAATATAATTGTGTCATTTGACGACAACCACGTGGTCAGAGAGCTATAGTTGCAACCGCTTCTTTGTGGTGTCATTTAGCGACAAAATCATGCGGACAGAGGACTCATACCACATCTTTACCGACATGCAATCACTTTGATTATGGATATAGAGGTGCATTTGATATGATATTTGTTATTTGTAAACTGAATTCAATCAGAAATTTGTCACTGTTGACAAACGGTTGCGGAGGAGAGATGAAAATTATTTTTAACTTTTGAATTGTTTGAATTTTAGCTTGAATTTCAGTTAAAATATTCTATCAACACGGCCATCATCAGAGAATTAGACATTTAAAACATTTATTTTTAAAGTGGGGCATTTAATTTTATTTGTTTAAACTTTTAGGGTATAAATCCTGTTGACTTCTATTCTTATAAGGAGGATCAGACTTTGTGATTTGAACTTGTAAATTTTTATTTCAAGATTTGGATATTTGTTAGGGCTTACTAGGCTCGTCAACTCCAGTTCTTACGAGGAGGATCAGATTAGTGAGATAATTTGGACTTGTAAACTTTTATTTCAGGATTTGGACATTTATTTTAAATCTATTAGACTCATCAACTCCAGTCTTTGCGAGGAGGAGAATCAGAATAGTTTAGTGGTACTTACAACCCTATTCTATAGAGAAGGCGTCCCGATTAACCTGCGCAGCATTCTCGAACCTCACATTTGAACATTTTATACTTTGGTTGAAGCATATGTGTGCGTTTAACTTTTATATGATAGAGCTAATTTTGTTAAACCATTCGGTGTCTTAAGGCAATTCATATGATTTTAAAACATGAATTAAATCAAATAGCTTGCACATAAACTTTCATTTTAAGCATTTTATCACCTTCTGTGAATCCGATGGCAGTGAATTTCAAGTTTTAAGAAAACTCAATGTTTGAATTATTCTTCACCCCTAGGAGCCTAACCCTCTGTTTGGCGCAGCTGTTGATTATTAATAATCTGCTGATAAGCAGATTATTCTGATAATCTGATAATCTGCAGATTATCAGAATAATCTGTCTTGTTGTTTGGGGCAGCTTATTCAAGATGGCTTATTGATGATTAAATGACATTCATGCCCCTTTGTAATAGAACTGTTTGGGGCAGCTTATTCAGAATAGCTTACTGATAGTACTGGATCATATGCAGAAACATGAAATCATCACAGATCATAAGTAGAAGATGTCATACATTACTCACACCCTCATGAGTACCAAGATAACTAAAAAAAGTACAAATACGAGCACAACTAGAATCAGAAATATTAAAATGTTTAATTTCAGACTCTGGCTACGTCTGTCCTCATCTGCTCTGTCAAAGTCAGAAAACACCGGATTCCCATGACTGCTGGCCGTGTCATATGAGGGACTGTCAGCCCACCGGAAGAACCCACAACGAGCTGAAACACCCTTGGCACAACCGTAGAACTGCCTCCCAAAGCTATGAGACTGACGCGATGTGAGCAACGGAGCTGGTAGACCACAATAACACAAAATACCTCTGTCTGTACTTGATATCCTAGCAGTCATGTTTGTATAACTGTGAAAAAAAAATATTAGTACTTATCCAAATAAAAGTAAATTTAACATTAATGTAGGAACAGAGAAAAGACTTGCTGGATTAGCTATCATATATAGCATCTGCTATAGACTCCCTCAGAGCAGCCATCTCAACTGCACCCTCACCATCCTGAGTTTCATATTCAATCGAGTCCATCTCATTATCAGCTAGAGATCCTGAAGGTTCTAGAGTATCAATAATTTCATCATCATCACTGATATTGAAGTCCGTATCTGAATGAGAGGGGTGACGTCGGATGAAGTTGTGAAGTGCCATGGTGGCCAACACAATATACACTTGTTTAGGAAATGAATAGGATGGCATATCACGTAGAATTACCCATTTCTTCTTCCACACCCCGAAAGTTCTTTCAATAACCCCCCGTAAAGCGGAGTGTCGCTTGTTAAACATTTCTTTTTTGCCACGAATATTGCCACTTGCTCGCTCGAAATCAGGAATATGGTATCTTGTGTCTGGATATGGCTTTAGGTAGCCTCTTAACATCGGATATCCAGCGTCTACCAAATAATACTTTCCTGTTATTAAAGACAGTACCAATTAAAAATAATTAATGTAATTTTCGCGAGGTTTTAAGTAAAATGAACAAACCTGGAGGTGGGTGAGGGAAACACTGTGTTCTATTCCTAGTGGCGTAGGAGAAAAGGCGACTATCATGCGCACTTCCTTCCCACCCCGCCATTACAAATGTGAAGCACATGTTGAAATCACACACTGCCATAACATTTTGTGTGGTTGTACCACTCCGACCAATATACGCGATCTTCTCGTGACTTGGTAGTCTGGCATCTACATGAGTGCCATCAATTGCTCCAATACAATTCTGTTCATCATAGTTAGCAACTGAAGAGGTCAATGAACTAAAGTAACAAGGTAATAATACTTACTTTGAAATACGGCATGTAACGAGAATCATTTGCAATTTGTTCAGGAATATTTGCGAACGATGTATCCGTTGGCTTGATGATCTGTGTTGCTAAGCTCACCAGTGCTTGTAAACCTTTGGAAAAGTATCGACTAATGGTTTCTGATGAATGTTGAAATCGCTCCATAGCTCCTCTAACTGATTCATTCTGTGAGAGCATATATAATGTTATTGCCAACACCTCTCTCGTTGTTGTTCTAGAAGAACCTTGTAGATGGTGGTTCCGACTTAACTCGTGTAGCAGATCGATAAAAATAGGCGCAGTCATTCTGAAAATATTACTGAACCTTATCGGATGTCCAGCAAGCATCTCACCCACCCATTTGTCCCCAATAAAAGAGGACGTCATGCGTGGTATCCGTCTATAACTGGAGCGATAGTACTCCAGCAATAATATCGCTATAGCAGCAGCCCATGCCATTCTTTTGCGACGGTCTTGCAGTGGGTGCATCCTGAGATGATAAATAGATTAGGATGAAAGAAAATATGTAGAGGTAGCGTAAAAAATAAGTGAGACAACATTTTCTGAAGATAGGGAAAAAAATCAGATAATACATAGCACCATAAAATAAGAGTAGCTGCTGTAATAACAATACATATTTGATAAGTCTAATGAAAGATTAGTACAAAGTTGACTCATTCTTCAACTATAACACGTAAATACTCAATGCGCATCTCGGGTCGTAGTGCAATGAACATCTCCCTACGAGTAGGGTCCTCGAGCTTTTGAACACATTTTGCCTGAAACGATTGGCTCTCTAACAACATAGCTAATAAGGTATGCCTGCAATTGCTGTAAATGGCATTTACACATTCCACAAAATTCTTATGTATTTATCTAACATCTGAACATTTATATTTTATATACATAGCACTCAATTCTTTAGCATTACATCAAAAATACCACCATCAATATTTTCTTAAAGTGAAACACACCTTCTTATTCATAGGTTTATAAAACCAAGGTGTTACATGTGTAAATATTAAATTTTGGGTGTTTATATGTTAATGCATTAGAATTGTGTGGTATATATGTAAATTTCCGAATCACCAATAACTATTGCTAACCAGACCTGTGTATTTTTGTTGGTTTAGAAGATGGAATTTGGTGTTTGATAGCATTGTTATGTATTTGTGTTATAAGTAGAAGAAAAATGCTCAAATAAAGCTCTCACTAAACACGCTGAA